TAATTATGAGTAATTTGTATAATTGGCCATATTATTATTTTAATGGAGTTTTGTTCTCGAAGTTAGATGATTTAGTCGTTAAAGCTTTCATTGTTCTTCTTTCTGAACGATATCATCAGTACAAACTTCAGGTAGAAATGATAATGATGTCGTTTACAAAAACGATAAAATGCTCCACGAACAAACTTTTCAGTTTAGAGAATAAAACATCATCAAAATTTATCCATCTGAGCTACAAATCTTCGCCACCATCTCATAGACATATTATGCTTTTTAATCTACGAAAAAAATGTTGTGTATAATAACGCTTTAATTAAATTGTTTAGATAGAACAGTTTAGTTATCGGTCAAATAAACATGGTCAGCGACATAGATATACGACTGATGACAGATCATGAGTTAACTAAAAATATGAAAAACCGACGCTAGTTTAACAGAAATTCTTGTATAATTAATAGACAATAATAATATTTGAATAGAGCAATAACAAACATTAATGCAAAAAAGAGACTTTAATAAACTTATCACTACCCTGGTAATCTTTTTGTTTCTGTTTGTTTTGTGTTTTGGTTACTTTGTTCATTTACTTATTCTAAAATATTTTATGCTCCCCCCTATTACCTAATTTTTAAAATAAATTTTATTCCCATATTTCCACCACCTGATCCTCTTAAATTATCTTAACTTTCCAAATTCTATTTAATTATTATTACGTAATCTACCTTATCATTATTTAATTCCATTAATCTCTACAATTATCACACAATTTATGAACTTCATTAAATTATTACACCACCCACCCTGGATTAACCCCCCTCTTTTGACCTCTGACCTGTTTCTAGCATATATATATATATATATATATATATATATATATATATATATATATATATATATATATATATATATATATATATATATATATATATATATATATAGTTATTATTGTAATCCAGTTATTTACACTCATTTATGTCAATTGTTTTCACACTATCTCCATGTAAAAATTCTATCACAATTTTGGTTTGTAAGCAGCTGACGAGAAACCTCGAAATAATATGAATTCATACTATTCTGCATCAATGTTTGTTCTTGCTCTATTCAAATTCATAAAGGGAACCAATTGCATGAAATAATAATATTCTAAATGTATGAAGGTGTATAATAGAAAAGTACCTCTTTAAGTTCTGATCGAATATGTACAATGATATGGTTTTACTCTAGATCGGATCATTACAATCATCATATAGGATGTACGTACACATATATAGGATATATGCTTTCTAGATAAATTTTTGTTACCAATCAAAATTAACAATAACCAATGAAATCGAATTGATAGTGCTGATTTCGGTTTATAACACAATATAGAAGGTAGGTAGGTAGGTAAGTTAGGTATCTTGGTGTTTTGAGTAATGAAACATTCTATTAGGTAAGAATTCAATTATTAAGTCTTAGTAACATAATGATTTTCAGAATACGTATAGATGGACTATGTTAGTCGTTGAATTTTTCTTTAATTTGGGAATAGACGTTTTTTTAAAGGAACAGTTTCACTACTGAATTGAACATACATCATCAAAGATGAAGTAAAATATGATGAAAACTGATAAAAGAAAGTATTTTATAAATGAAATGTATAATAATCTGAACCCTTTGACAACAGACTTTTGTTTAATTTAGAAAGAATATTTGAGAATTAATTTATGTTATAGTGATAAGTCAGTTAGTCAGTCAAATACAATGTAGGACCAGGCACAAATATGCCTGATGAACACCGAATTCATGAAAGTACTTACTTCGATGGTTGTAATATATAAAAGAAAGATTACAATAAGAACATAGTACATGAAGAAAGAATTAGTTCATAGAAAGAAATATATGGCGCGATTTTAACCTCATAGTTTAAGAGCAGACAAAGAGTGTATACACCGACGCCATTGTGATCGATTCTGAGCCATTTCACCAACAGTCTACAACCATTGGTTACGATAGTCACGTGGACCCCATCCAAGTAGTCTGCATCTACAAACATGGCTCAAACTAGGAGTTAGTGACTTCAACAACTTATACCCTGTTTTGGTTTGGCTGTCTTTAACTATCTTCCAACCGTCTTCAACACTAGTCAGCATTGCGCGTCGTGGTAATCGATGTTCAGGCATTCGTAACACGTGTCACAACTAATTGAATGAATAAAATCATTAGTTTTATTCAAGTAAAACTTAATATATTTGTAATTAATGAATGTTTATTCGAAAAAAGTAAACAACTTCATTTCGTTACGAGTAATCGCCAATGTTTACATATAAAATTATTTTATTAATTGAGACTAGGAGTCACTTGAACCTAGACCATCATGAAAAACCTGGAAGAACCGGATGACTGTTTTGTTCTATTGTAGGATTCCTTCTTGACAGTGCACATCTATGATCCCGACTCGCAAGATTCGAACTGAGAACTTATCAGTATGAACTATTAAAATTACTATAATATTCACAAAACTATTTCTGATATAAAATTATATTGAAATTTTTATCAACAAAAAGACGCGAAATTCACTCATCCATTTGGCTAAATAGAGTTTTGATATTATAGTTGATATCAATTCGTGATGGAAAATCCTGAATCTAATTCCTAACCTTAACCCTAGTTTAGCCCTAGTAAATAGGTAAATACTCTCAAGGTCACTTAAGCGTCGTCCATAAATTATAGTCTCATCGAATTATCTTTCTGAACAATCAATCTGTATCACAAATTCTTAATGTACTGAAATATCATAAAATGAGATTTTAATAACATTTCACAATTTACAAACATTATTTGTCAATACTTTCTAATTGGATGGGGCTACCACCCACTAAAAGATTTCAATATAAACCTGGAAAATAAATGACTCAGTATTTAAAGTACATGGATTTATACCAATAAACCATAAGTTTAGACACCCACTAGGAAACTGGGAACAGTCAACAGCTTTTGTGATTGATCTTATAATGATACACGACTATAGAACATATCAACCCCCTCCCAACTGTCTATTTGAGAAAGAACATAAAAGCGGACGAGGACGTATATTTGGCTTCCGAACAAAATGTGGAAATACTCATATATATATATATATGTCGCGTCAGGCATTTACCTCGGACAACATTTTCGTATATAACGTCACTAACCCTTCTTAAGAGGAAATCCGTTACCCACGCACACCCTGATTGTCAAATGTTTCGTACATATGTTGATAATACATTTGGAAACTGAATTCGAATTCCCCTCACTTCTGACTTTCTTCTTTGTGGATATATGCCGTCAAATGAATTCCGAGTCCCCCTTCAGAACACTAATTTAGCTGGGGAGACACTGTTGGGTGAGATTGGATTCGAAGTTATCCCGGGTGATTTTCTCTCTTGTGCCCATCGCTTGTGATCATTCTTACAATCACTAAGAAACATCTGCTTTTATCTGTGAATCATAGAAAAATAGGAAGATCCTTGGTTACAAATAAGATTATTATCAGAATGGGTTTTGTGGAGATTTTAGAAATTTCACAGATTGAAATCATGAGTCAGTTGAAGCTAGACCACCATTTTAAACCTGGAAGCACTGGACGGCCGTTTCGCCCTAGTATGGGACTCCTCAGCAGTGCGCATCCACGACCCCGCACCACCCGGGCCTCGAACCCAGGACCTACTGGCTTCGCGCGCGAGCACTTAACCATTAGACCACTGAGCCGGCATCCAACGGTGTTAATGTCTAACTTCAACCAATTAGATGGATTGTCGAACATTTTGTAATCTGGATTACAAATAAGAATAAATGGGTAATCACATATTTTCAATTTTGGAATCCAGTAAAGACCCAATAAATTGAATGATTCATCATTAACATAACATTTGGATATAGTCATAAGATCATTATATTTGACAATGAAGTTGATAATTCCGGTTTTAATTAGGATTCCTGATGCATTCTTTATGCAATCGGTAGTAGAATGAATGCTTTGTAGACCAAGTTCATGCCAAGTTTTGCAAGAAATCAGGGTGATATTGGATCCAGTGTCTAACCGCGGAGTGATAATACGATCATTAACTTTAATGAACAAAAACTTGCGTAAGTACTGAGAGTTCGATTCTAACAAAAGATATGCACAATTCATTCTTTTTGTCATTCGACAGTGCAATCAGGGTTTGCTGTGTTTGCAAAATCTATCCTTTGACCACTTAATCCACGTTTTGAGCATTTGTGTTTACTAAATCTAGAACTATCAATTAATTGAAAATGTGAATTCATTGTATTATAAAAAGTTAATATCAGAAGGGGTTTTGTGGATATTATAGTAATTTAGTAGTTAAAATCATGTGCCAATGAAGCTAGACCACCATGCAAAACCTGGAAGAACTGGACAGCCATTTCGTTCTACTATGGGAATCCTCCGTGGCAGTGCGCGTACATTATCCCGACTCGTGAGATTTGAACCCAGGACCTATCAGTCTCGCGTGCTCCTTCTGATACTAATCAACATATCCTCACTAGTGACTGGCTTCAATGAGGTATTTCCTAGAGCTCTAGTGAGAAGCAGTAATCAGTGAAGTTCAACCGAATCTGTTGCGAGATTGTAAGTCACTGAACACAGTAGTGGATGTGTCACTCAATTTTGTGGATTAGTTGAAATTAGACAATAATACCGTTGGATACCGATCAGGTTAGTGGTTTATAGGTTAAGCGTTCGCGTGAAACACAGGTTGGTCCTGGATCCGAATCTCGCGAGTCGGGATTGTGGATGCTCAATGCCACGTAGGAGTCCCACAATAAGACGAAACGGCTAACCAATATTTCCAGGTATTCCTTAATGGTTTAGCTACAATTCACTCAACTACTAAAACAAAAAGTAAAATTTTTAAAACATCCAGATTATCTAACATTTTAGAAGTAGTTAATTATTTCAGTAGATTCTTATCTATAATACAAAATATTTTCTTTTACAAAAGGATATTAAGGTGATTCTTATATATCACTTTTTAAATCTATGTGTAAAATGATGAGAAAAGGAACATTTTCGAGAAACGAAAATCTTCAATAAAGTGCAAACTATTAAAGAAAGTATCTTATAGTAAGTATATTTCGATGAAACTATCATTTATGGATGAACCAATCAGGTATAAGATTACAGATCTTGAATTTTGATGTGAAATTCACTCATTCATTTGGATAAATAGTATTTTGGGATTATAGCTGATGTCAGTTTGTGATGAAAACCCTAAATGTAATTTCTAACTTTAATCATCAATTGTTAATCATAATTTTAATTCCTAACACTAATTTATAACTCTCATTTGATCCTAGTTACTACGTGGACACTGTCAAGGTCAGTTTAACGTTATTCAAATGTCGTTCATAAATTATAGTCTCACCTATATTTTCATTATTAAATATTAATTCACTTCAAATCAGTTTTTAAATCACTTTTAAAAACAGTTCACATCAAATGATACATGAACAGCTAGGACAGTATTAGAAATCATATACATTATACCTCGAAGCTTTATTTATACTTCTATTGTAATGAACAAGAACACGAGTGAGGAACAATCGAATGTATTTGAACATATCTCACTAAAATCTAAGAACCATAAAGTAAATAGTTAACTTGAAAAATATCAATCCATTGTGTTGAAGTCGACTGTTTCTTTCGCAAATATCAGTCCATCGTCTCAGATTTCATTGTTTCTGCATTTTCATATCAATTGCTTTCCGTTCCCGTTCCCGTTCTTTCCTTATCGATATTCTATTGAAATACATTCTATTCTTAACTATTGCATAAGAAAACAAAGCACATGATTACTAAATTTTCATCTTTATGACATAATGAGCACATTAATTGATCATCAACTCTAGTTAATCACCATGTATTAGTCAAGTTTATATTGAATTCTCCTTAATTATTATGAAATTCTGTTGAACAATGTTATATAGTAATCACTAAATTTAAGAGATTCAGTATAGTTATGAGCTTATAAGTATCATTACCAAGGTTTAACTTGTTAATTTCCAATAAATTTAGCATTGGTTAGATTGTTATAAATAAATTACTATATTTGTAGATATCCCAATGTAAGCGGCTATTTACTCTCTGAAGAAGTGGCTTACATCGAGTTACGAAACGTCAGAAAATCTAATTTTTCTACTCACTGAAATATTACAAATTATGACCTTAGTTTTAAATCACATGCTTATTGATACAAATCGACGGTTCAAGATTCAAGCGTCATTACTAACTTACTTACGCCTGTTACTCCTAACGGAGCATAGGCTGCCGATCAGCATTCTCCAATCCATTCTGTTCTGGGCCTTCTTTCTCAGTTCCATTCAATTCTTGTTCATTTTTTCTCATGTATATCTCCATTCCTCGGCGTAATGTCTTCTTTGGTCTTCCTCTCCTCCTTCAGCCTTGAGGATTCCATGTGAGGGCTTGTCTTGTGACGATATAAATAGCTAAGGATCATATTGAAAATAATTTTTCATATTAAATAATTTGAATTCCAAATAACCAAACTTTTTAAATAGTTTACTCGCATAGATGATTTCATTGTAGATAATTGACATTTTCAGCTCTTTTGAACAGGATCACTTACCTTACCCATACTTAATTGCAAATCACGATTGCTCCTACCTACGTACATGTTTCCACACATATATGTAAATATATAGACACAATGGGATGTGGCACAATCGTTTTCGTGCTGTTTGAGATTTTGGTGAAACATAGACCTTGTCTTTTCGATAATGACAAGTTGGACTGCATAAAATGTCCGGTTGATATCTAATTTAAGTCTGTGTTTCAACATGAGACTATTTGTGTCACCTCTGAATGGTATAAACTCGCTTTTTGGGTGCCAGAAGCGTCATAGGTCTAGGCATATTGCAACCCTTCCAGCGGTTTATGGACTTCAAAGGGTAACCATTATTAATTAACGCATCAGTCAAGAGCTTCATCTCTACTTCAATAGTATCACTAGTACAAATACGATTGATTCTATTGAATAAGCTCTTTATTAAACCGCGTTTATAATGAATAGGGCAGTGACTATGACAATTAAGATATTGTCCTGTCCATGTTGGTTTTCTATATATAGCACGTTAGATGGAGCCATCATCTCTCCTAGTAATCAGGATGTCAAGAAAAGGAAGTTGGTTGTTTTTCTCTTCTTCACATGTAAGAGAAATGTGCTTTTGACTACTTTTGAATTCTTCGAACAAGCGGCTTATGTCTTCAATTTTATCACCTATGATTAATATGTCATCTACATATCGTTTATACAGACCCATCTTTCAAATTGAGTCTCCAACTAAATTTTCCACATATCCCATAAACACATCAGCCAGCAGTGGTCCTAGAGGGCTGCCCATAGCTACACCATCTATTTGTCTGAAGTGTTCACCTTCAAATTTGAATTTTACATTATCTGTACATAATAATAATAAATCTTTAAGAGTTTTAACAGGAAAAGGCAGTGGAAGGTTTTTCGAAAAAATAAAGTCACACAAAATATCAATGGTTTTCCTAAAAGGTACATTTGTAAATAAAGTGTATACATCAAAGGAGTACATATATGTATTCTAAGCAAACTTAATGGCAATATTAAGGCTATCCGTACAGGATGTACATATATCATAAAAAACAGATCAATTTCAGTCTTAAACATCAATTGTATGATTCAAACAAATGAACGAATACAAAGGTCGCTTTTTTCTTTTTAGTCTGAAGTTTCCAAGTATTTATTTTAATTAGCTACGAAATCATTCAACAATTCAATAATTTTACATATTGAAATTATGAGTTAATTGAAGCTAGACAACCATGGAAAACCTGGAAGCACTGAATGGCCGTTTCGTCCTAGTATGGGACTCCTCAGCAGTGCGCATCCACGGACCCCGCGGGACTCGAACCCAGGACCTACTGGTTTCGCGCGGGAGCACTTAACCATCAGACCACTGAGCCGGTATCCAACGGCCGTCCAATGCTTCCAGGTTTTCCATGGTGGTCTAGCTTCAATTGACTCATGATTTCAACCTGTGAAAATTCAATAATTTTTCAAAATATTATTCGTTTAGGAAATGTCACGAATGATAATTATTCAGTTGTGTATAGATTTGTTTATATTTTTGGATATGCAAAAAAACCCTCCCAAACTCTCATCTAACTACTTCATTAATGAATAAGCTAGATAAAGCTTTTATATGCCCTATTTGTTGTTGTTGTTGTAAATCTTGTTTATCTTAGCATTTCATTGTAATGCTTGATTACTCATGTCAATACATGATATTCATAGTAACAGTATCATGCTTGATTAAAAACAATTTTGTATCATTTCATAAGTTTATGATTAGAATTAGTTAGAGAGTATCAAATGATTGTTAGAAAGAAACAATGAGTTAGTTCATGTTAGTGAATTGTAGTTTACTTATAATCCTTGTTCATATAAATAAATTAGTTAGTTACTACTGTCTATCAATGATAATCAACATTCCTAGGATATGTCAATGAATTTGTTTTTAATAAAGTTTTGTTCTCTGATCTGGATAGTTTGATCATGGAGCTTTTATTGTTCTTTGTTCAACGACATCATCAGCATAGACTTCAGGAAGAAGTGAAGTGTTTGAATTTCCCCTACATATGGTTCACAGCTTGTCCTATAGACCTGAATATTGATTTGTTCTCCATCATCTCAATGAATGTGTTTGTGAAAGATTAGTAATCGAGAAACTCCATACCATGTTTCTTGTATTATCCTTGTATTATTTTTTTTTGTAAGAAGGATAATGCGTTAAATTCAAAATAGCTTGGAATAAGATGCAAATATATTGATTGTTATTACACTAATGAACAAAGTTAAGTTGAGATAATTTTTAAGACGTATTATATAAGGTTAGGTTGGAAATCACTATTACTCTTGAAAATTTATGTTACGTGAGTTAATTTACCGGCTCAGTGTTCTAGTGGTTAAGTGCTCGCGCGCGAAACCAGTAGGTCTTGGGTTCGAATTTCGCAGGGGGCGAGGTCATGGATGCGCAATGCTGAAGAGTCCCACAATAGAACGAAACGGCCGTCCAATGCTTCCAAGTTTTCCATGGTGGTCTAGCTTCAACTGACGCATGATCTTAACCATTTTGATTAAATTCACAAACACAAACCTGTGTTCATTAACGGTCACTTGAGTAGTGAATAATGTTATGTTTGTTTAATTCCTAGTCGTAGTCTGATTCAAATGATCATAAGTGTAAATGAATCAACGCTACCCTTAAGAGTTAAGCTAACATCAACAACAAATCACAATTTTAGGCTCTACCATCAAGTTATTCATTTCAACTAGATAACTAACATAGGAATTAGATTTAAGTGTTAGCCCGATTGCCTCAAATCACTTAGCGTCAGATATTTTTTATCCTATTCGAAATTGGCTGACGTTATTATGAAAGGTATAAACATCAGTCACTTAAACATTACGGTGCATTTATGAACTTCTCTATATGTTGATTTAAGAAGTTATTTGGTATCACTGACCTACGCAATCGTATAAAGTAAGTGTTAAAGCTGAGTTCCTGAACCTCATGGTTTACGGTCGTATAAATTGTGTTATAAATGATAAGTCTTGTTAATTTGAACGCTTTATTCAGTTCCTAAGCTATTATGGTAACCCGCAAGCTAGAACTACGCAGCAACCTGAACTCGAGAGAAAAGGTGAAAAATAAGCGAAAAGCACTTTACTCCAAAGGTTCATTTTTGTACAGAAAAAAAAAACGGGTATTTATAGATGTGAACATTTATTAAATCAACATCGTATTTTGGCCAATCCGCTAAAAGACATATTATGCTACTGACCAATAGTAGCACGCCACGTTGATATTCTAGAAAGCTCCATCGTGCTCTGATTGGCTAAGACTCTTCGGCTTCTTTAGGGTCTCAGAAGGCTTCGTTGTAGTTCTCGAAAAGCCGAATCAACACCCTCCCCCTGAATAAGATTTCTTTCTAGGATCTAGTTGTAGCTTGACAACTGGGTTGCGGCGGCGTCCCATTATTCTTGTCGTCGTCGTGTTTTGGGGTTAATAAATCATCACTTGTGTTCTTACTTTCACGTCATGGGAATTGCATAGGTCCCTCGTTCCGAGCGTTTCCGACATAACAATCAGATACAAAATGAGGCATTAAAAGAGTCAAGACAATAAGCATTCAAACGACAAATTATAACAATAAATAAGCACTGAATTATTATGAGCTTGATCATTTTAATAGCATTACCTAATAAATTCCATATTCTTATAGTGAAACGCTATGGAATGTTGTTAAGCTATTACGTCAATTAAAAT